AACAGCCTCTTAAACGATACAGATATTGCATAAAGCACTGTGGCTCAAGCCTACATGTTAGTAGGATAATACTTATTGGTCTTCTGTGCTTTCCGTTTTTCTTTTCTTTTTGAGTAAGAAATGCAGACTAGGGCAACAATGAACACAAAATAGCAGCTACCTAGATTTGAAATGCTTTCACAAAAATATTTGGATATATTATGCAGCATTTTACAATCATAATCATTATAAGGTAAAATACCCATAATTTATTTGCTTCAGCTTAGAACACAAGAGGTAGAAAACGTCCATACCACCTTGTCTCTATGAACGAATGGCTCTGTTAGAAGGGGCGTTATTCCGCGTCCATTCGAGCATGTTAATCTGGGTCCAAGCAGCCATCTTGATTGTTCACCTCAGCTCCAACACTTCACAATGTATTATTATTATTATAAATTTTTAAAAAAACATATAGAAAACAAATTTCCTACAATTTCGGTTTTTTTTTGGCCTTTATTTCACATAACCCAAAAAATTTCTTAAGTAGGTCAACACAGATCAATTAGCAATTTGCTTTCACCTCTACCTTCTCCCTCAACGTTTCTCCTTTCTCAACTCTCTTGTGGCATTCCCTTCATCCTTACCAGAACTCAAGCACAGATCATAAGTTAAACGCTCAGCACTAAACAGCAGTGAGTGAATCAGTGCACTTCAAAATTTAACAAACATAACCCAAAAGTTACCATGGTCTCAATGAATAACATCCTAAAGTGATTGATTATATAATAATCATGAATACTTCAGATGCAAACTCCCGAATACAACATCACTGTTTAGACATGTACGCTAGTCAACATCCATAAGCAGTTGCAGATAATGAAAGCTCAGATGTGTAAGATTAATATCCATAGCACAAAATCACTGCTTAAAGGTCCCAAAAAGAAAAACCACTAAAGCAGATTGCTCAATGTCAATTGGTCAATCAACAACATAGAAGTGCAAATATTTGCCAGGTGGAAAAGACGAAATATTCTGGATATCCTATTTATATAATATTTCAAATTATTTACAGAATTACCTTTTTTCTCCAAAATTTTAACTCCATTCGATGACAGATATACATGAAAATTTTACATAAGCAGTACTTTCTTGGTCAAACTATCAACTCTTCTTACTTTAAAGAAGCTACCAGTGTCATATGAACTGCAAATGCTCTTTCACAAAAATGATCGCCATTTTGTGGTGAAAGGACAAAAAGGGAAGCAGTATCACTGCTACAGTTCAGGGATCTGACTACACAATTTACCTCATAATTTTGCAGCAGAAATCTGCCAGGATCAATCAAACCTTATTTGAGTACCGCTGACCAATAAAGGGCTACAATGTTGCATTCTGACTAGCTACCTTCTGTAAATACCTGAAACAATTGACATTTGCTGACAAAATCACTCTCAAATTAGATGATCTCCATCATGTAAACACAATAAGAGATATATTTCTAGCGTTGCAAAAACACCAAGAGGGAAAAAAGGAAAATTAGGAACAAGAATCACACAAGTCAGGAAACCAATTTAAGAAAAAGAACTTTTAGATCTTCCTTAGGAAGCATACACAAGTCACTTGTACAAAGAACAAATAAAAATCGCTATAACTAGTTACTCTAATAGCATTCCCTTTAAGGGAGTTTCATTAAAACGTGCTGCAATTGCTGAAATACAATTGTACAGAAGTAGCGCACATGACTTCTGTCAACACTTCCTATCCAAGGGATTATCAAACACATTCCAGTATAGAAGGCTTATAATGTTATGCCTTGAAAACAGTTCTTTTTGGGTGATAAACAATGTTTCTCAAGGAAATTATGTAGCCAAGAGAGAGATCAGTAAAAAAAACTCAAAACCTATCAAACATTTCACATCAAAAGGCTGTTTGATAGTATTATCTCAACAAGCAATAAAGGAGGATGGAGAGATAGAGGTGATAGAATCTATTTCCTAAATTTTGAACACATTACACCTCCCATCCATGGGCCAATATTGAATAGCTGTTTACAAATGCATCAATCAATAGACAGGAATCTTCGGCCCTAGCTAACTACCAGGACTAAGATACAATGTGATCAAACATAAGATCTATAGGCATTGGACGATTTCAATATGAGCTGCAGTTTGATATTCGGAAAAAGGTCATATTTGCCACTGTAGTATTAAATATTAGTTATATATACCTTCCGTTATAACCAAATACTCAATCAGATGTGAATGAATGAAAGAGATTTGTGCCTTTTTATTGTCTAAGTCTAATGCAAAATGGTCTCTAAAAGGTAACAAAATTAAGCATTACTTTTCATTCTTTTCAGTTGTTCTACATGTTTCAGGCAAGTTCAAGTTACACGTCTAACAGAAGAGAACTAGTTCTCTTAGAAAAAGAGCAATACTTGTCAAAGTACAAAATAAGATGATATTAGATGCCATCCCTCTCAGGCTAAACTTCATTCAATTTTGAGAACAGGGGCAAAGATTCCATCAACAACATGCTTCAAGCATTCTCCATTCTAGTTTGGATTTTCCTCAAACAAGGACCCCATTATTGCTAACCCTCCTCTCTAAGAAGCAAAAAACAACTATAGTCATCCTTTCTTTCTCTTAAGAGTCTGGTCGTCTTTGGGCCTTTCCGGCATATCCAGGAGGGGAAAGGGGTCTCTTGGTTTTTCTTTTTGGGTCTCGTTGATGGATTTTTGGTTCCGGGAAGATGGGTTATTTCTAAGGGTATGGGTTGGCTAATCACCCGGATTAACAGATGACCTCCATGTGTTATTTTGAAGGTGGATCCAAGTTTTCCGTTAGTGGGAGCCGGGAGGGGTATTTGTGTTCAAAAGTGTAATGACGAGGGTAATTAACGTCGAGTATATATAACTAATATTAAATAGTACAAGGGTAAATATGACCCTTCCCGTTTAACATTTATATAGAACCTAGGCTCTCAAGCTGAAAGCATGCAACCCCACAAAACACCGTAATAATCATTTTGTAACACTAACACATCACACATCATTTGATACACAACATGACACGGACATACACACTGAGATAGCCTTTATTATGTTACATCACAAACCCAAATCTTACAGAGACAATACGACACACCCTATGTCATGATTTTACCATGCAATATTAACAAATTTCCACCCCAATAATAAAAGCGAGTGAATCATTGGGCCTATCTCACATAACGAGTCATACAAGGGCGAAGTTCATTTTGGGGCATAGCCCAAAGCAACTTCAAACTCCACATGAAAAATATTTCAAGAGTGTCCAAGTGTTAGGATGCTGAGAAAAGTACAGCAACGAGAAGTTCTGACAGATGAAACTAAATCAGCAAAGTTACTACTAGACCAGCCCATTATTCTATACATTCCAAGACATCATTTTTTAAACTGAGCGAACACGTCAAGAAGTTCATCGTTTCCTACTAAAGCAAACTTTGTCTCATGCCCCAATAAACCCATGCACAACACAACTTTAAACTAGAGCAGAACAAAATCTTAAGGCACCTATGAGATTAAAAAAGGCTTACGGTGCCTACTGAAACACACAAGTAGGTCTCTTTCATTAGCCAGGACCTGCAATTTGTTGCTTGAAGCAACAACTAATTTCATGCACTATGCTGCTCCGCAAACAATAATAGATACTTCTATACCAAATTAAGGACTTCTGCACCAAATCTTACCCATGAAAATAAACATACACAGCAAAATATGCATGCTCAAGAAGCACGTTAAAATTTTGATGTGTTTCCAATAGCTGTGCTGCATCTGCTTACACAAGTAAGGGCATGGCTGACATGCTCCCTCAGTGATACTAACTTAAACTTTTCCACAGAGCACATGTAGATATTAGAGAAAGTTAACAAGCTCTTTTGCCAACTGAATATTGAATGGTACTTTTCCATCTAGCTTCACACACATCTTCCCTTCATATACACATTTGAATATAAATGCTAAAAAGCACATCTCTTTCAGAGTTCCCACACCAAAATGTTGTTATTTCACTTAGAGGTCGTTTGGTTGAAGGGATTAGGAAAAACAGTCCCGGAATAAAATCTCACATAAAATAATACAATATTTGGTTGGATGGATTAAGAAAATAATTTCTGCATAACTAATGCAGCGTTTGGTTGGCGTATAAAAAAAAATCCCTATACAACTAATGCAACGTTTGAGTGGTGGTAATAAATAATACTCCCTCCGTCCCAAATTACGTGTGACTCTTTCTTCTTTGGTTAGTCCCAAAAGAATGACACCTCTCTATATTTAGTAACAATTTAACTTTAAAATCTCCACTTTATCCATAATGAGATGATTTATACCCACACAAATATCTATAGCTCATTTTAAACCACAAGTTTCAAAAGTCTTCCTTCCTATCTTAAAACTCGGTGCCCAGTCAAACACCGTCAAATAAATTGGGACGAAAGGAGTACACGCATAAGTTATTTGAGAATCTAGGTATTATTTTATGTGGAGTATAATGTGAAATAAAATTACGTGTATCAGCAATGCAGCAATGCAGAGACAAAAGTATTGAAAGAAAAAAATACCTTACCAAAAAAACAAAAAAAAAAAGGTATTGAAAGACAAAAATGCTCTTAAAATAGATAATCTTTAATTATTCACTGCATAACAATCCCGACAATATTATTCGCAGTACAACAAACATATCCCTGCGTAATTATATTAGCATAACTAGCAGGTGAACCAACCCCTTAAGAGTTGTTGGGATTTCATTGAAATTCCATGTTTCAATAAAAAATGGAAGATATGATTTCGGGTGCTGTAGTCCAGGTTTGGTTCTTACCATCCCCATAAGCCTGAAAGAACCCAGTTTTACTTCCATTTTTGTGAGTCTCAATCCACACCATGCTCCATACCCAATTTCAAAATAAAATACTTAATTTCAGAATTATCAAAGTTTGTAATATTAGTATTTTTTATTGATGCCTAATTTACTCTGTAATGACCTAACCAATTACTCTAATCTTTACCTGGTTCAAACAAGTCAAAATACATTAATAGTATTTATTTTTAAATGGAACAAATAATACTCTTAAACAAAAGGCCACCGGTATTTTGTTAGGCACCATCCCTAATCCCATGGCATGAGAAGTATTCCTACTACAACCTGCAATCAAACACCCCTCTTAATTCCAGTAAAATGAAGGCTAGAGATGTCTCTGTTTAGATCCTCCACTTGCAAATAATTGCTAACAGTAAAGCCTGAACCTAAACAACCAAGAAGCTGCAATCTCAATTAGACTAAATCACAAACTTGCAAGAATCAGAACCAAATAAAAGTGCCAATTTAGCAAACATATCCATTTTCCTCCAAGTTTGGGCTTGAGGTAAGGTTGATTGATAACAATTCTCCTCGAAAATCTAGGCTGCATATAAAAGATATGGGGTCTCTCGAGAGAAACTCCAACTTCTCTCTAGAATCTGGGAAAAGAGAAAATATAACATTCACAGGTGCTCTGGCTTGGCCGGCTCTTGAAATTGAAGCCAACAGTAGGAAATTGGATGCATGCAAAGAACCACGTTTCGACTTTCACACAAACACATACAAAGAAGGAAGAAATTCTTGAGTACTTGTCTGGTTGGGAGCTTTTGTAAAGTGTGTCGGCTCTCCAGAAGCAGTCAGAAATCGGGCGGCAGTAGGTTGGGGTTTAAACACTGGGTTGAAGGTGTCTCCTTTAGGTGATACCAGATTTCTTTTCAGACTTCAAAAGTGAACAACAAGCTACTCGGGTTCTGAATGAGGTCGGGGGGG